CCATCATAGAAGTATCTTGACTTTGCTAAATTTTCCTCAATTTTTATTATATAGTTTCAGAATAAAACTTTGGACAATTCACTTTAGAAGGGCATTATTGAATAAAAGCATATGAAAGATGGAAGCTATATAGCAATCACAACTACAATTCTTAAAGCCTAGAAAATAATTATAAGGTTTTATCATTAACGGAAATGAATAGAAATCACTTTGGAATAGAAAAAGTAAATTACCTTTTAAAAAGTAGGCTATGTTTCTAAATTACTAAATATGCATAAAAATAATAAAAATACATCTTCACTTCAACATTATGCACTAAATTGTTCTTTATGCATGTTTAAAATATGTTTGGAAATGTTATTACAAAAATTTCAAAAAACAAAAATATTATAAGCCATAGCATAGCATTGGAAGACTTAAGCTGGTCTGTCAAAGAGAAAGAAACTCCTTTCCTTTTAAATCCATTTAAATTTTAAACTGGAATAAGTAATAGAAGGCATCCACATATACATACTCCACTTTCACTCAAGGAAGTGCATAATATATGTGGAATTATAAAGTATTATATATGAAAGTACCTAATGTGGATGGTTTGTGTAGCAGAGTCTGATTTAGGCTGTGAAAATGGCCTGATGATGAAAATGCTTTTTACTTCCAAATAACTGATCAGATTTGCTTCTATGGCTAAATATACTCTCTCTCTCTCTCTCTCTCTCTGTGTGTGTGTGTGTGTGTGTGTGTGTGTGCGTGCATGAAAAAGGCTAATCAGAATTTTCTAGTATAATAGACAGCTTTGCTTTACGAATCAATTACTTCTGAATGCAATTATGGAATGTCTACAATTAAGGAAATTTCACTAAATGAACAACTCACCTTCTTTCAATTTTAGTTTTGCTTCTCCAATACAATGAAAATGCCACTGGACTGTGAACACCTGCAACTTATTGCGCAAATACCATATTGTCATTCTGATTAGAGCACAATACCAGCTGGAGAGGTACAAAATTTATGTGATAGCAATATATCTTAAAACACTAAACTATTTTTTTTTATTTTTGAAATTCATCTATTCTTAGAGATTGCTCAGAAAAAGAGAATTGCTAAAGATTAGAAAGTAAATCCTTAGAGGATTTCTGCATAAAATCCAGCAGCCTATTCCATACCTTAACTCTAATCACTGGGACTTTCATACAATTCAAGTCTAAACTTTTCCTCAGAAGTTAAGATCAATAGGATTATTTCCAGGTAAATTTACAATTCCAACATCAATTCTTGAAAAATTTAAGGAAGGGGATATTATTCATTACCAAGGTAACATTGTTGCACACCAGCAGAATTATTGCCAGTTTAATATTAGCATGAAGAAAAATATGCATGTAATAAAACTTCTTACCAAGTTTGCTAAAGAATCATCAGGGTTTCTACATGAAGAATTCTCTTTGAAAAATCCAGGTTTTTTCCTTAGTTAGTTCAATGTTAGTCTGGGGTTGGTTTGTTATCTAATACAATTAATGGATACATTTCAAGAAAAATAAAGAAATTGGCATAATTTGCGATTTAAAAAGTGAGTCAGGAAATATCTAGTTCAGCTTCTTTGCCAAAAGTAAACCACTGGTGTCCCATTCTCTGAATGTCCTGATAGATAAATACTGCTGGTCTGATTAAACATTAGAATAAGCTTGTAAAATGGGATGGTAGAAAGATTGGCAACATATAGATTTAATAAATAAATAAAAATAATGTACACAAAGCATCCTGGATGGGATCATATATGGTTTCCAAGAAGTAATGTATGTTTTTTTTTAAAAGGAGGAGATAAAATTAAAAATAGAACATGATAGGCTTTCACCCATGGCATGACTATCTGAATGTTTGCTTCACTCACTACACAGAAGCATGCCTGCCATTTAGATATACAATAATTACTCATAGCCATTGCCATCTCCCCCACAAATGATTTCATAGGTAGCCCACAAATTTACACTCATCACAGTCATAAGAATATTTTATAGGTACCCATTGAGAATTGAACCCGCACAATAGCTCTCAATTTCTCTTGTTCACTGCAGCAGCCATATCACAATGCAAAGAAAGTAAAGAGGATACTCCAGGCAGCCTCATGCCGAGCTCCATGAAGGACACATCAGGAAAACAAACAGGATAAATGCATGGGCGCATCTGCTAGGAAGTTTTTAGCCAAAGAGATAGGAAATAATGGAAATTTCGCATTGAACCATTACAACAATGAAGATTTATAAACCAGCACAAAACTTGCAAATTTCTGAGATTTCTTCATGACCCAAGATAGTGAAATGATTAGAAAAAGGAAAAGAAACTTTTCTCCTTTTTTATTAATTGTTAATAATTCATAAAAATGTATGATAAGGAATCTTGGGGAAACTGGAAATCTGTACACAGTAGCTTATTAGCCTTCAGTTGATGTAATATATTGCCTGAATGTATAGATTCCCCCACCTTTTTCATTACCCATTGCTTTTGCCTGAGATAAACTGAAATTGCGTAACAGTACAAACTGTATTCTCCATGAGTACTCAATATTAATTGCGTCTATGAATTTTATTCTAATATATCTTTGACTTCGCTATATGGTACAGTAGTGCAAATTACTTAAACTGGTTTCCCATAATCCAAAGGAAAAAAGACCTCCCTATTTCTCATCACTCTGTCCTTATGAAAGAATTTGCACCTTTTTGGAATTTCTTCTTCACACCTGAATGGTAATTGTCTATGGAGATTCTCAACTGCTCAGGTCATCGTTGTTCCATGGTTCCAAAAGGCAACTGGACTTCTTTAGTTTTTTCTTTGAAAATTTTTTGCTAAACTTTTCCAACAGAAAAAAAAATCCAGCACCTTTAGATGGTAATTGCTTATCAATCACCCAGTCATAATTATTTTAGCCCCAATGCTAAAGATAATTAACAAAATACTTTCTGCGTTTATTTATTATTCAAAGAAGTGCCTCATGATTATTTTATACAATACAGAATATTAACCTTGTGTTAGTCATTGTGTGCACATTCAATTGAGAACCATAGTGAATCTTCATTCCATAATAACTATATAATATATATATTTTCAAATATCTGTTTCTCACAGGTATAAAGTGGAGTATTTTTAAAGGGTGCTCCAATTAATGTAAGTTGTAAAATTGCAAGATTATTACGTTATAAATCTTGGTAATGCAAACACATTCTAATGCTAGGTGAATTCTCCCAATTGCAAAGCCAGACACTATGTCAAAAATTAGTCCCTAAGATCAGAATGTTTTTAATAATACAGTGAAAGAGAATCACCAATAATATCAGCATTAAAAACCACCTGCTGTCTAGTTCCATTTCTTATAATGAAAGGCTGCTTGTACCAGAGGACAGCTGCCAAGTTCTCCAGTTTGAGATTATGTTTTATCATTGGCCTTGAGCTAAGGACAGTAATTAAAGCCATAGAACAAACCTAATTGCCTCTCCTTTTAAATATAATTTTAAACAGATTTCTTATTTAAAGGAACAACCTAAACTCATTCATAAAATCTATATCATTCTTAATCAAGTTCCATTTATATCTATATATCATATAATCAAATTTTGGAATTATATTGATATCCATATATAAATATTGATATCAATATAATTCTGAAATTTGATTATTTCCAGAGTATTTTGTTGCATCTGCCCGCTGGACCGATATTCCCACTAATCCACATTTATCACGGTTAGTGATGCTTTAAAGGTTATTAACTTTGAAACATACTCACACCTAGTCAAGTGCTACCCAGATCTTTTCTGAGTTTGAAATGCAAGTTTTAAAACAAGCTTATTAATCATCTCCTTATCATCCAGTAGTACTTGTTGGTCTTTGTCTTTTTTCAGCAATATTTTAAGTCACTTTTATGCAACAATATGTATTGTCCAATAAGACTGCAATTCCATATGTACTTACCTATATTAGATTAAATTCAGACAAAAATAATTATACTTTCATACTAAAATATAAAGGAAAGTGATTGTATTAATTTCCTAATGCAGCTGATTCTAATTACCCAAAGGCTGCTTTCTCTGTAATCATTAATCCTTTCAGTTATTTTAATTAGGAAACGTATGCTTTCTCAATGAAAAGTTAATACTCCATTCAACGAGACTTGTACTCAAGCAAAACGTGCGCGTAAATTTAATTTGCTCCATTGTTCTTAGTATCCCACGAAATAGAAATATTTTATATATATATATATATATTAAACATATATATATGTTCCTTGTTGTGTCCTTTATTCCCTATATAGATATAGGGAATATAGT